CATCTGTCTTGGAATAAGTACAGCCAGAATGCTCCTTAGAAGCGAGAATTGCAAGACTTCATCTCACATACTTTGGACATGTTATCAGGAGGGACCAGTCCCTGGAGAAGGACATCATGCTTGGTAAATTAGAGGGTCAACAAAAACGAGGAAGACCTTCAATGAGATGAATTGATAGAGTGGCTGCAACAATAGGATCAAACAGCAACGATCGTCAGGATGTTGCAGGGCCGGGCACTGTTTCATTCTGTTTTACATAGAGTCACTACGAGTCAGAACCAACTTGATAGCATCCAACAACAACAACAACAAAAAGACTTGTAGAATGTTCAGAGCAACTTTATTCATAACAGCCTCTTTGAGGTTTATATTAACTTCACCCAAATAATTTGATCTTTTCCTTGGTTCCTGACAGATAACCTCTAGAATCTTGGAATTTCTCCAATAATTGAAGCGTCTTTCTTATCAAGAGAACTCCAGACCTGACAAGTTATGCTAAAGAAGTGACTCAGGTGGTGGCTAGACAGGCTAGAAAGACCACCATGTGATATCAGCCAACTTCAGGGGGGTAGGGCATGAATCAATCAATCATGCATACTAATTGAAGCCCCAAAATTGGTGGTAGATTTGGCAGCTCCAGGGGCCTCCTAATTGGTGAAAGATGTCAATACACATGGGAGGATAGTGAGTCCCTTTTTGGGACATGGAGGACCCTTCCAGACCTTGCCCTATGCATTATTTGTATCTTTTTCCTGTAATAAAACTGTAATCACAAGTACAGTGCTTTTCATGATTTCTGTGAGTTGTACTAGCAAATTATCGAATCTGAGTTAGTAGCGGGAACTGACGGTTCAGAAGTGAAGGGACTCGGGAACCCTGACTTTATGGCTGATAATCTGAAGGGGCAAAGGGAACCCTGGAATTTGTAGACAGCAGGTCAGAAGTGATGGTGGTGGGTGGGGACTCCCAACCTTGCAGCTAGCATCTAAAGTCTTGGACAGACTTGGAAGTCTGGAAAACTGTGCCCTATAACTTGTGAGGTCTGACCTAGATCCAGGTGGTTAGGGTCAGAGGAGGAAATGCTGCGTGTGTAACTGGTATTAGAACAAATATGGAACAGAGGGGAACAGAACTGATAATAAATTGATTTGAGATTAATTTCATTTTTTTAAACAGCCTCAAACTGGAAAAAATCTAAAAGTACATGAACATAGAAAGATGGACAAAAAACGGTGGTGTATTCATACAAAAGTCCTTTGCAAAGCAAGAAATACCACATAAAGATGAGGAATCATGTTATTCTATGAGAAGCAACTAAAAATAACAACCACCCTAAAATAAATCTCCCATTGGTCTGCTGTGGGACCTAAAATATCTGTCATCTTAGTTACCCCTTTGATTTAAAGCACTGAGTCTCAAGAATGTCCCTGTTAATTTATAAAGAAGTGTTATGAAATAATACATTAAATAATTATCATAATAGTCTATCAAGGGAGCCAGCTGTGATAGGTCACAGTGGAAAACATTTACTATTGGCAGCAATAAAAAGAAACAATGGAAAACAATAAAAGAAACAAATTACTGATACATGCAACAACATGAATATGAATGAACCTCACAAATATGCTGAGTAAAAGTCAGACAGATACAAAGAAAGTTTATACTCTACGATTCCATGTATATGAAATCTAAGAAAGGGCACAAGGGAACACTCTGGAGTGATGACGGCGCTCTGTCTTCAAAATGTTGTGGGCTATACTAATACATGAATTTTTCAGAACTAATTTAAAGAGACACTTTTCACTGTATTTAAATTATACTTAAATTTTAAAAATCATCTCAATGTTATTGTGGTTATTTTAAAGTAGTTCTTATATTTTATGGATGTATGTGGAAATATTTACAGATGAAAAGATATATATAATATTTGAGATTTACTTAAAAATGGAGGGAGTTTGTGATACAGCGTGTAGGCATATAAATGAAAAGGGATTAGTTATGCATTGAAAACTGTGGAAGTTGTGTGATATTCACATGAGGGTCCTTTAGTCCACTCTACTTTTGCATATGTTTAAACATTTTCCATAATTAGAAGTTGAAAAGAAAAAGATTTTTGGGTTCATCTTCTCGTTTACCAAGGAGACATCTGGGAAAAGAAAGAGAAAATAATTGTTTAAGGTTTAATCAGCTCCCAGGTTCAGGTTCAACCTTCTTTTTCTGATCCCAAGGAAACACAAATTATTAGCTACTGTTTTTGGAAACGCTGCTTTAAAAAAAAGACAGACCAATAATGCAAGGAGATGTTTAAGCAATAAATATTTACGACCTCTTTACTTTTGTCTACTGAACATGTATATATATATATATATATATATATATATATACATATACATATATATACCTGTTGCTGTTGAGTCGATTCCGGCTCATCACGACCTTATAGAACAGACGAGAACTGCCCTGTAGGGTTTCCAAGGAGCAGCTGGTGGATTTTAACGGCCCACATACATGTATACATATACACATATATATATATATATCTCCTCGAAAACATCTTTAATAAATAAAATAAACAAAAAGCCATACAGCAAAGACTTGTTTTCTCCTTCCAGCGCTGAGATAATTCTCCCAACCCAGGCAAAGAAAGCAAAGGATTTCTGCTAGAGGGAGGAGCTTGATTCTCCATTCTGGTCGGATCCATGAACAGCTGTTTCCTCCCCAGCTCTGAAAGAGGTGAAAATGTGTTAAGCGATGCAAAAAATGTTTTCAAGCGCGCGCGGGCGCGCGTGAGTTCGTGCGTGTGTGTGTGTGTGTGTGTGTGTGTGTGTGTGTCTGTCTGTCCGTCCGGAGGGGGCTAGGAGGCGGTCAGTGTCAGCTCTTAGGGCAACGTGAATCTGAAGTTAGAAAGGTGAGTTGAGTGTAGAGTCTCGCCTTTAGACGCAGCCGAACAGGAAATTGGATATCGTGGTCCAGGACCATGAACCAGACTGGATTTATCTCTTCCATCCAGATACTTGCTTGGTGGTCTGGAAAGTAAATTCCTTTTAGAGAGCGAAAAATCTTACGACTCCTTGTTTTCGACGGCTGGCGAATATTTATTCCTCTGATGGGAAAAAATTGGCGTCTGGCATCCTCTGATTGGTGGAAAAGAAAATGGTGACCGTGGGGTGGGAAGAGGATTTGTTGAGCTTCCTCCTGCCTCCTCAACCTGTAACTCTTCCTTACTAGTCTCCTGTCCACCTACGGGACCCTTTCTGACTCATCTGAGGTTAGAAGTGAACGAATATCTGGAGGTTATTTGAACAAAAACGACCTTTAACTTTGTGTTCTGTGACCGTTTACCAAATTTAAGCGATCCGAAAGAAATGTGCTCTTGTCGGTACGGATACGAGCACCCTCCTAATATGCCTGACTCCTTCAGCAGCTCGCCCAAGAGATTGGCTCTGTCTTTGGTGGTCTATCCCTCAGCCCCTGGCTCCCAGAGGTTCGCTCTGACTAGCGGTCCTCGTGAAGAACCAGAGCGAAAGGCGGAAACAGGGAAAGAGAGGCCATGGAAAGAGGGAAAGACATCAGCCAAAGCCTAACCACTCCCGGTTCCCACAAGACTCCTCCTTGACCTGAATTTGAGGTGACGCGCCGAACATCCCACCTTCCCGCCTCCCAGGACCAGGCGGGAGACTGGAGTTGGAAAGTCACCCCCTCCCACCCCAAACTCCCCCCAGCCAAGAAAAGGAGCGAAATGCTGGAGGCACGGAAAGCAGCGGGAGCCGGGAGTGGGGCGGGGAGAGGCGCTGACAAATCAGCTGAGGGGGTGGTGAGCGCAGGAGAAGGAGGAAGAAGAGAAGGAGGAGGAAGACTACGACGACCAGAACGGGGCCGGAGAGAGGGGGCGAGCGACCGTGAACGGCGACGCCGGACAGTGTGAGGTGTGTGCTGGCTTTAGAGTGGACCAGGGGACCGAGCCCCGCCTTAGCATCCTTCTCGCGCTCTCGCCGCCCTTCACTTCCGACTCTCTATCGCTTTCTCTCGGATCCTCTTGTGCGGGGGATGAGGAGTGGCAATTCGACGATAGGTTCGCGGGTTCGTCTCCCACGTCCCCAGCCTCTCGTCGCCGGGTTGTGCAGACAGCAGCCTCCTCTGGGGACCCTCCCTCTCCTGGTGCCGCCTCCGCCCTTCCTGTGCGCTCCTTTCCTCCCTGTTTCTATTTAAATAATATTGGCTTAAATTTAAAAAGAGAGGGAGGAAACAGAGTTCTGGAGAAGCAGAGGGACTCAGTAAGTAACTGTGGAGTTAAAGGGGCAGGGAGCTTTGGAAATCTTGGAGAAAATCTGGTGGGAGAGAAGGACGCCCGGCAGGATGGTGGTGGTGGTGTTGGGGGGGGGGCAGGCTGTGCCAAATCTTTTGGCGGTGGTTACTTGTGCCTCTGCTGAGCTGGAGGAAAGTAGGTGGACTTGGCTTTCTACCTGATTCCCATATTCCCGTCTTACCCACCCCAAAACCTGAGAGGTCAAGCTGCTTCTCCGGATACGCTCTTCCTTTAGAAAAGGCGAGAATGCTGGATGGATGGATGAATTTCCAACTTTTATTTCTCCCTTACCTAAAGCCTCCACTCCGCCTTCTCTGTTTTCCCTGTAAAGTAAGCAAGCTACATTTGGCAAAAAATTAAACGGAAGTGCCAGAAGAGCAAGTCAACAGGTGTTAAAGGGTTAACAGGTGCTGGCCCAGCCGTCGCCACTGGATGCCGGGTCCCCTGGCCGGTGAGTGCAGAGAACTGCCCCTCGGGTGGTGCTAGTCTGGAGACGGCCCGCGGGTGTGAACGGCGCCTGCCCCGGGTAGATAGCAGAGAGGGGAATGGATGGTCCAGGGGATTAGAATGAGCGCTGGAAGGCTGCCGCTGGCCTGAGGTTCAGCCACACCCCGCATGAGTAGTTAGTTCTCTTCCCTCCTCTCTCCACGATGATCAAGCTGTCAGTCCTCTTCTGGAATTCATTTCTAGGATGCCTCTGAATCCACGCTTACAACTCCTTTTTCTTTTTCTGTGGTTTTTCTTCTAAACGTGCTTCTAACTTAAACTGTCACGAGTTGGATCCTAGGAAGTTGAAAGATGGGTCCATTCTTTCATGCTACTCCACTTGCAAAATGCAGTAGAAACAGGCCTGATGATTCATCCTAATCCATGTTTAGGCAGCTAGACTTGCAGTAGGCAAGGTTGGTGAGGGATGCTAAATGTTTAAAGCAAAAGCTAAAAAAGTGTTGTTTCGTTCAGCCATTGGAATGAGGATACACTTAAAAGTTTGAGTCTCACACAGTTTTGGGGTTTCTACTGATTTCTCAGTGGTTTTTACCTTGAGCGGTTTTAATTTTGTTCTGTTTCACCAAAAAGTTCTCATTCAAAGTGTATTTTGTGTTCTCCAGTGTGGTGTGAAGGAATTCATTAGCCATGGATGTATTCATGAAAGGACTTTCAAAGGCCAAGGAGGGAGTCGTGGCTGCTGCTGAAAAAACCAAACAGGGCGTGGCAGAAGCAGCAGAAAAGACAAAAGAGGGTGTTCTCTATGTAGGTAGGTAAACCCCAACTGTCATTTTAATGTTTATTCATGACTGATGGGTTAAGATGATTGATACTCTAAATGCTGTTTCTTGCTTGATTCATCTTTTCATCACCACTTGCAAAAAGAATGTACTGAGTCACAGGTATGTGTGGGTGGGTAAATGTGTGTATTTTGGCTAATAGTACAAAATGAAGATCATCATTTGTTTTCCCTGATTATTCAATTTTACAATAATATTTAGGATTTTTGGTTCCTTTTTTAAAAATGAATGTTTCCTTGCGTAAAAAAAAAAAACCTAAAACTAAACTTGTTGCTGTTGATTCAATAAGGACTAATGGCAACCCATGTGTATAAGTGACTTCTTCAGACAAAGTTTTTAAAATTCAAAGACTTTTTAAAAATAATCAAGAATATTCTTAAGAATCAAAATCATTCATGAGTCTTTGATTTCTTTTATCATCATAGTATTTCCTAATTTTTTGTGTATTCTAATTTTAAAATGAGATTTAGATATTGGAGCCCTGGTGGTGCAGTGGTTAAGAGCTCAGCTGCTAACCGAAAAGGTTGGCAGTTTCAATCTACCAGCCGCTCCTTGGAAACCCTGAGGCAGTTCTACTATGTCCTATAGGGTTGCTGTGAGTCGGAATCGACTTGATGGCAATAGGTTTGGTACGGTTTTGGTCTGTGATGTATAAAAACAGATGTATTATGACTCTAAAATGGAAAGGACAGATTAGCCTTTGGTGGAGTTACTTATTGTGACCACTTGGTAGGCTGAAAAAGTGATTGAGGACTACTAATATCTCTGAAACTTCTATGTAATCCATTTATCAAATGACACATACTAAATAATGAGATTGATGCTTACCACTTCTGCTTGTTCCTAAATTCCCACCTTAGTGTATATATAGAGGTCTTGATCTTTTTTTCTTTACTTATGTCTAAAACTGTGTTAGGTTAGGTGTTATTTTACAAACCACTTCAGATTCTTTGGGGACAGAGCTGTGATGCAACAGGAATAGACACACACAAACACACACACACACTCACACAGTCAGCTACTGCCCACTCTTTTTCTTTCTCTTTTTCTCCTCTTAACTCTTCCACATTCTCTGGGGGCAGTTATAGCAGCAATAACCATGGGATGAGTAGTAAGGTGGAGGATGAGTATATTGGATAGCATAGATGACACTGGCGCTGTGCCTATGTCTATAGGGGGAAAGAAAGTACACTGTTTATGCAGTTTAGATTAGCAGGAGGAAATTTATACTTGGAACGACTTTTATGAATACCTTTCATCAAACTTTACGTCAGATTTTTTTTTTCATTGTTCATAAACTCCTTTTTATGTGGACTTGATCTTACTACAAATCTTCAATTAAATTACTCTCTTTCTCTACCTTAAAACAATTTTCAGAAAATCGTTGAAATAAAGAGTGTTACAAGAGAAGATAAACTTGATGAGTTAATTTCAAGTTTGTTTTTTGTTTTTTTTTTGGTAAAATATGAGTTATATCTCTTTAGGTGGAATTTGGATTACTGAATCAGTGATGTGTGTGCTTTATTATATCTTTGTATTTGTTCTAACTTTTCCAAGTTGTGCGAGTGCGTGCTTGTAACTGTTCTTTGACTTCAGTTACTCTATAACTTTGTAACTTTAAAGATTTTCTTAGGGTGCTAATATTAACTCCATTAGTTTGTAGCTAGCCTAGAAACTATCAAATATTAGCTTAATGCACTGCTCTTTTCCAGATTACAAACAGGTTTTATCATCTGGAGCAACTTGTATTTGTTTTCATTGTCAGTTGTGAGTTTGGGCAAATAAAATGATTCTTTTTCTTAGAGATTAATTGTTATTTGCTCTGAGATGACCATATAAAATTGTAATTTGTGTATGTGTCACATATTTTTCAAAATAATGTTTAATGTCTATCAATGTTTAACAGACTATATTCTATAAATTATTTATTAGTTATATTTTGCAGTCTAATTGAAAGCTGAACTCACTCACAGGAGTTCAGGTAAACAATGACCACATGAAGACACAATAGTAAAGAGCAGGGATTGGCAAGTTTTTCTCCCTCAGCTGCTCAATTCTGCTGTTGTGGAGTGAAAGCAGCCATAGACAATGACCAGCATCACTCTGTGTTCCAACAAAACTTTATTTACAGAAACAGGTGGTGGTTCTGATTTGGCTCATAAGCTATAGTTTGCTCACTTCTGGTGGAGTGGAAAGAGCATGGGCTTGATGTCAGACAAACCTGAGTTGTAGTCCAGACTGCATCCCTTACTACCTGTGGGATATTGGGGAAGTTGGTTAACATCTCTGAGCATCATTTTCCTCATTTGTGAAAATATGGTTGAAAAAAATTGCAATTGCCTTACAGAGTTTGTGAGAATGTCATAATAAAGCAGAATATGTAAGTCATAGAGCACACTTTCATAAATCAGAGCCATGATTATTATTATCAAAGAAACTCTCCAACAGAATAATTTCTTTACCAACATGTTTTCTTTTTGTCCTTTGTCCTTTATTACAAGAACTATTATCAACAACTAATTTGAAAGATTGGAAGTAACTTAAGAAAACTATGTAATTTCACTTATGACTGAAGAAATTTGGCAGACTGTCTTCATAAGCCCATAAGAAACATAACCTCATTCCTTTACAATAATATATTACACTTCCGGAAATCTCTTTTAACTATTGAAGAATTTCCATAATAGCCAGTGTTATTTTTATGATTTCTTCTCCCTTTGTAATAACCTATGTACACAAATTTTCAATCAATATTCTTCAATTTAATCAATAAAATATTCTCTTAATCAAATAACAGACATTATAAATCGAGATTCAAATTCCAAAGCAGAAAAATTTTAATTCTTATGTAATACCAAGTATTATAACAGTAAAGGCAAAAAAATGATGATCTTCAAAACTCTTCCAATGCTACTCTTCTCAAACAACCATAAATGGTCAAGTTTGGATTGAAATTAAACTTTCAAGTTACAATATGTTTTACCTTCACCAAGCTGATTTAGCTTTGAGAACAGCAACGTAACCTATACAACACTGTATAGCTGAGTTCTTTCAACTCCCAGGCATTACTTCCGATGTCTATAGTCTGCACCCTTGTGAGGTCATGAGAGAGAGACAAGATATGATGTTTTAAATTTCAGCATACTAAATAAATATTAGTTTTATTATTTTTTAGTTTCCCTATACATTTATAAAAAACAGTTTTGAATGTTTTGACAGAAAGTTTTAAAGATCATGGAATGATTGTAATTTTTATCATTGATTAATCATAATTTTTCCTTTGATTACGAAGATCACATTCCATAGTTTCAACTTCTATGGTCGTTTCACAGTCATACACTACTGTGCAAAGTGAACATTGCTTGTATTAGATATGGGTACAGATAGATATGGAGCCCCTGAGTGTTGCAAATGGTTAGGTGCTTTACTACCAGCCAAAAGGTTGGCAGTTCGAACCCGCTCAGAGGCGCCTTGGAAGACAGGCCTGGCAATCTTATTTCCAAAAGAGCACAGCCTTGAAAACCCTATAGAGCATTTCTACTCTGCACACACGAGGTCTTCAGAGTCAGAATCGACTCGACAACAACTAACAATGACAATATAGATATAGATACACACGCACACACACAGGTTTTACACAGAGTACATATGCACACACACCTGCATACATGTATTACGCTATCCTGTATTCTTTAATGAATTTAATAGATGCAAGTTTCATTTATGTGACATTTATGATTTAGAAATTTGTCCTGTGTTTTAAACCACAAATTCCTTTATAAACATTGTATGTGAAGAGGAATAACAGTTATCATTTACTAAATATTTACTGTTCTAAAATGTTTCTGTGTATTATTTCCTTTAATCTTTGACTTGATGCCGTGATGTGCATTTGACTGTTATGTGATGAAGTGAAGATTTAAACCCAGACAATATGAATCCAGAGCCCACATTCTTAACTGTGAAGCTATAGTTTATGTTTTATTTTTATTTGAGGTTCTTAAAAAACAGAACAAAACAATAAAAACAGTAGCCCTTGAGTTGATTCTGACTCATGGCAACCCATGTGTATCAGAGTAGAACTTCACTCCATAGAGTTTTCAATGGCTGATTTTTCAGAAATAAATCACCACACCTTTCTTCTGAGGTGCCTCTGGTTGGACTCAAACCTCCAACCTTTCGGTTAGCAGCTGAGTGCCTACTGTTTGCACCACCCAGGGACTTCATATATTCCAATGGGAAGTTCTTAAATATATTTAAACTGTTTTATTAAATGTAGAGGCTTTCATTGGCAGTTTTGTAAAATTTAGGTTTAAATATGATAAATGTACATTTCACTTAAGGTCATTTTTATAAAAATACTCAATGAACATTTTCAATATAATCCTGCATATTTATTTCCATTATCTTATTATCTACATCATAGATTTGTACTTTTAAATTTAAAAAAAAAAAAAGAACTAGAAACCCAGATCAATTTTTCTTAAAATTTGATCCAGGAATTAAATTACTGCATTAATTTGAACACTTACCCAAAAAAACCAAACTTGTTGCCGTCGAGTTGATTCCAACTCATAGCAACCCTATTGCACAGAGTAGAACTGCCTCACAGGGTCTTCAAGGAGCAGCTGGTGGATTCAAACTGCCAACCTCTTGGATAGCAGCCAAGCTCTTAGCCACTGTGCCACCAGGGCTCCATTTGAACACTAGGATTCTTAAAAATGCAAATATCTGTACTTTATACTTAATATTAGGGACTGTGACTCAGTAATAAACATTTTAACTATCACTCTTACCTAACTGATTCTGCTACGTTTTCTATTTTAAGAACCAGTTTCTTAGTGATTATTTAATTAAGCTTATAAATTAATTTTACTGATAAGAAAACTGAGATCCCTCCCTTACACTTTTTTCTTTTTTTAAACTGTTTACAGTTATTTCTGGTATACTTAGTAAGGGTTTTTAAAACTTAGTGCATTTTTATACTGAACTAGAAGATTGATAACAATTTTAGTATCTACTACCCACTTTTTAACTCCCCATTTCCGTATATTTTTCTATTTCTTGATAGAACTATATTATTTGGGTTGTAGGGTAGTTTTCAAATGAATATCTAATCCATTGTTGTTACTGTTTCCAAAAACATTTTAATTAAAAAATTGGTCTGAATTATACTGAAGGATCCAACATTAGAGGGGTTATGAATTTAAATTGTTAACTAACTTAGTCTTAATAATCCATATATTAATAAGTTATTTTTATAAAAGCTTAGTATTGGTCAAGGTTTTGGGGAAATTTCTATCTTGCCTCTTTTTGAAGCTAGCATTGGAACACTTAAATAATAAAATACTCCCTTCTTTCTAAATATGTATCTAGTTTAGTGGAAAGAATATGGGCAAAACTTGGGACAGACCTCAGTTTGAATATGCTTGTAGCCTGTTACTACCTGTGTGTCTTTAGACAAGTTACCTAACTTTAATTTTCAATTTCTTTGTGTATAAAATGGGCATAAAAACCAAGCCTATTGCTGTTGAGTAGATTTTGACTCATAGTGACCCTACAGGACAGAGTTACAGGTTTCCAAGGAGTGGCCAGTGGATTCGAATTGCCAACCTTTTTTGGTTAGCAGCCAAATTCTTAACCACTGTGCATGGTACACCTGTATTAAATTGATGTTAAGAACATTAAATGAGGTAGATAAAGTGCCTCTCACATAATGTGTCCAACAAATGCTAATGCCTTCTTTTCTTCCCTCTCTATTTGTATTTCATGGGTTAACTAATCCCCCTGTTATACTAATCCCCCTGTTGTACAGTTCTGAATCCAAAATCATCTTCCCACCCGGTCCCAGTGTTATCACACCTTTTTTTTTCTCCTTTGTAGATTTATATATGAAGCTAGAAGCAAGAGGATAAAAAGTCGTCATCTTATGCTAAAATTTTAATTGGAGAGCACCTCCTGTTAGCTTTGCTTTCTTCCTTTAGTTGTAGTGATTACTGAATTTCCTTGCTTTAGATTGTGTGCCCCCTGAGAATATTATCACATAAGGGCTTCGAAGATTGAGATTTTTTGATTAGCTGTATTTAAAACCAGTTAACATCAATGTAAGGCCAGTTAGAGACTTATATTTTGAAATAAAATTTGTTTGTTTTTATAGGTTCCAAAACCAAGGAAGGCGTGGTTCATGGTGTGACAACAGGTAAGCTCCATGGAGCTTATATCCAGTGATCATATTAAAAATATTTAATAACCAGTATGGCACAGCATTGATTGTTCAGAATGCAATTATAAACAATTATTGTACCTGTAGAAGCATTCTAATGGTAAGTTGGCTTTGTTTAACCTTAATTCTTAGTAAGTATTTTTAAATAGGTAAATAATTATTATAAATATATAATATACAGTACATTTAACTTCCAAGAATAATGACTTTGAATTGACCAGCTATGTTTAAGTTATAACAGCTGGTATTAGAGTATTTGACCAACTTAAGGTTTTGGCAGGCTGCTAGCCTATGTAACATATAAGAATTGTCATTTTTCAGAAGATTAAAGTAAAATTTTCAGTACCAACAAAAAAACCCAAACTCGTTGCCGTCAAGTCGATTCTGATTCATAGTAACCTTATAGGACAGAGTAGAACTACCGCATAGGTTTTCCAAGTAGCGGCTAGTGGATTCGAACTGCCAGCATTTTGGTTAGCAGCCAAGCTCTTAACCACTGTGCCACCAGGGCATATTCTGAACACTAAACAATACTGATTATAACATTTTTTTAAAAAAATGATTCAGAAGACTTTTCAGGAAACACTCTTGGGATGATTGGTAGGTAATTTGTTGTATTTATCTCTACTTGGCTTAATTTCACCAAGAATTTGAGTAGGCCTATAGGAAGATTTGGAGCCCTGGTGGCTCAGTGGTTAAGTGCTTGGCTGCTAACTGAAAGGTCTGTAGTTTGAACTTACCAGCCACTCTGTGGGAGAAAGAGGTGACATTCTGTTTCTGTAAAGATTATAGCATTGGAAATCCCACGGGGCAGTTCTATTCTGTCCTGTATGGTCACCATGAATCGAAATCAACTTGGTGGCAATGGGTTTGGGGTTTTTTTGGTTTATAGGAAGATTTACAGTAAAGAAAGAACAAATATTATGAAAATGATGGTGGTGATTATAAGCAGAAGGAGGAGGATGATAATGATAGAAATAAAAAATCAAAAGAAAACCAAAATGTAATAACCTTAAGACCTCACAAACTTGCAATCATTGAGTTCCTTGTTGCCTGTACTCCAAGCTTCCTGACTGGTGTGGTAAAACAAGAGATATTATCAGAAATATAATTCATATGATCAGAAAGCAGTAAACATAATAGTGCCTGAGGAAAATAACCTGTTTCTTACACTGAATTATAAAATAGAAACAGAGAAAATCCAATGGAAGTGTTAATGGTGTTGTGGTTTAGACCCAAAAGTCTAAGCTAGACTGTCTTGGTTCAAATTTCTACTTAGATTTTACCAGCCCTGTGATCTTCTGCAAGATTTTTAACCTCTATATGATTTAGAATTCTCGTCTATAAAACAATTAAGTGAATTAATGTATGCAAAGCAGCTAGAATACTGAAGGCAAATTGTATTATATTCAAACCAAAAAACCCATTGCCATTGAGTCAATTCTGACTCATAGTGACCTTATAGGACAGAGTAGAACTGCCCCATAGGGTTTCCAAGGAGTGGCTGGTGGATTCGAACTGGCCTTTTGGTTAACAGCCGAACTCTTAACCACTGTGCCCATATTATATAGGTGTTACTTATTACTGCTCTATAGTGACCTATCTTGAACATTTTTGCGGCTAGTGGAAAAGAGTATTTCATATGATTCTTTTTATGCATTCTTATGATAAAAAATGAGAGAGTAAAATTAAAACAAAACCCTTTCAAACTGGTTCTGCTAAAAACTAAGCTCAAGTATGCAGCTTTCATTTGCTGTGTTGCAATCCAATGTAAAATGCAAAAGTAAATGGATTGTCTTGCCTTGTAGGGACCTTCTATAAATATGATGATATTAAGCACGATTTTAATGAAAACTGGATAGCAGGCAGCTGGAGATCGTGCTATCTGAGGAGGCCTGGTCTAGATTAATGGTGTTTCGGTTTGACAGTTGAGGGAGAATCCATGTGGTTTAGAAAGCAGATAAGCAAGTGGCAAGGTTCCAAACTTGTAGTAAAAATTGAAGAGCCCAATTAATACCATCATCTAATGGAATCTGTGAAGATGGGCTACAAGTTTAACAGTTGAAAAAGTCACAAGTTTTTTCAGGGAGATATTCTGAGTCTTCTGCACATTGCCAGAATGTAAATGTGAGTTTGTGTTTGTTGTGTGAGAGAGAGAGAGAAGCAGAGAGAGGGAAAGAGAGAGAGACTGAAGTTTGTATGAAAGTCAACATTTTACAGTGTTTCCTGAAGAAAATAGCCCACAAGCTTATGTGTCCATGGTCTTACAATGTTGAGAAACTTTGCATACTGTGTCTTCCTTTTAGAGATTCATTCTAAATATTAGCATACTAAAGAATCTGAGATGTCCAAAATTAAGAAATTTGTATAACATAGTTTAATCCAGAGTTTCTCAAAATGATTTGACCATTGAAACCTTTCAGCAATTACTAGGATTGAATGAAACTAGTATTCCCCAGAATGCTATGGAAAACGCTGCTAAGCAGCAAGACGATGATTTTGATGTGGACAATATTTATAGCCATTGTACCAGTCAACCGTCATGGAAGTAGTAAGATATCAAAAATGCTGTTATAAATACTCTTGGTATGAGAAATACATTGAGAGAAATCAGCTATAATAAGTACTATCCTTCTCCCGTATCAAACCAAACCGTTGCCATCTTGTTGAGTCCCATGCATAGAGACCCTATAGGATGAAGGAATTACTTAATTTGTTGAATAGAGTTAATGTAATATAAAATTCTAACTTCTAATTATGAGGATAAATAAGTTTGAGAACATAATCTCAATGGTTAAGAAGAAGGAGAATTGTTTGCTTATTATACTTGATCTAAAATGTTTATTATGGGTACATAAAACCAAAAACCAATTGCCATCTATTTGACTGACTCATGGTGACCCCATGTGTGTCAGAGCAGAGCTGGGCTCCATAAGGTTTTACATGGTCTGATAGTAGATCACCAGGCCTTTCTTCTGAGGTGCCTCTGAGTGGCCTTGAACCTCCAACCTGAGAACGTTAATTGTTGGTATCACCCAGGGACTCCCTTGGGTATGTAAGTGCTAAATAAATGTTTTTTTTTTAATTAAATTATTGCTATTAGACTTAAGGGAGGAAAGTGAGAAGTACATAGTACATAACATTATTCTCTAATGTGAAAAGAAAAATATCCCGAAGATTCGTATTATTAGCTGTTTGCAGAATATAGACTTAACTACACTTAGTTAGGCCAGGAGTTTCCTTCTGAGAGTATCCAAGGAAAATCATTTCTTCCAGTTAGAAAATCCCTAGGTACAATCCAGAAAACTCCACTTTAAGCCCTGGCTTTCTGATCTCTGGTCTGGAAATAATTGTTTAAATTGTCAACTTAATACACCAAGTTATAAAAAAAAATGAGCGTATATTTAATCTGGATGTAATGAATGACATATCTTTGAAAGCGCTTTAAAAAATAAATTATGATTGATTGTACTTACTTCTTTCTCACAAAAATATTGTGTGAAGAAATTCCTATTATTGGAGATTTTCTGAAGGCTTTCTTATAAACATGAATTTATTACATCATATTAAAGAAAAAAAAATGCACCAGACGATGTTAAAATAGGCAAGAGTGACTATTCAAAAAAAGGTTATTTTAAGGGAGGGGAAAAAACCCAAAACCAAACCCACTGCCGTTTAGTCCTTTCCACTCAAAGTAACCCCATAGGGTTTCCAAGGCTGTAAATCTCTATGGAAGCAGACTGTCACATGTTTCTCCTACTGAGCCGCTGGTGGTTTCGAACCACCGACCTTTCATGGTTAGCAGTTGATCGCTTTAACCACTGCACCACCAAGTATCCTAAGGGAGGAGAAGGGACTAAGAAACGGGAGGAGAAGGAACACTGTAATGGGAGGGAGGCCATTACAATGCAGAAAGAGACCAGACTAAGGCTGAACTCCTACTCCACTGAAGCAGAGGTGGAGAAGGGTTATAAAGGACTGAAGTGAATTAGTGAAGAAATACTAAAGTACTGAAGTTCCTTAAGAAGAAATTAAACCATAGAGTATGTTGATCACATAGAGTTATCTCCTAAGTTTGCTGTTAAGGGTAAACTTAACATCTGGATCCTGTGAGGGCCAGGGAGGAAGGGAGAGGTCAGTTGCCTACAGTTGGGAAGAAAAATTTTCAGAGTAGAACTGCACTCCATAGGATGTTCAATGACTCTGACCTTCCAGAAGTAGATTGCCAGGCCTTTCTTCCAAGGCATTTCTGGGTGGATTCAAACTGACAACCTTTTGGTTAGTAGCTGAGTGCTTAACCGTTTGCAGCACCCAAGACTGCTTAGAGTCAGGAAAAAGCCTGCCTTAAATTTAATTAAGATGAGGGGAATGTTATTGTTGTCTGGGTTAGCCATTTTCCAGAACACAAAAGGGTGGGGAGATTTCCAGGATTACAGGGCTTGGATAAAATTCAACATTGTCAATCATAATCAAAAAAACTAGTTTTCAACATGATATGATTTAAATGTCCTTATTAAATTGTATTACAATGTAATTTTTTAAATTTTCCCCAAACTTACAGTTTGTATACCAATTCAAATCTAGATCTTAATTTTATAACTTTGTTTAATGTTCAAGGCTTGATTTAGTATATTTATTCTAAAAGTAGATGCCACATTTATTAATTTTGGGATTTTATTTTTAACTTAAAAATATATTCAAATATAAACTAATTATTGACATTAATGTATAAATTACAGATATACAAAAATTCCTTTTAGTATATTCAAAATTATTTATCATCTATTGTGAAATAATATAAAAATAAATAAAACAGGATCCCTAAATTTAAAGAACTCAGAATAGAATGGTGGAGGTGGACAGGCAAATACTAGTAAAGGAATAATTTAGAAGCAATGTAAAAAGTTCAATAGTAGAGATATATCTAAACTTTTACAGTACCACAGGAGGAGGAAAAAGGTACTTGTTGGGAGGAG